GCACAATTTTGTGTTTTCCAACACTCACTTAAACACACCTGATTCAGCTCCTGAAGGTCTTGATTAACTAACAGGTTATTAACTATCTGTGCAGGTATGGGAAAACATGAACCTTTGCAGGTGCAGCTGAACAACAGGGTTGGGGGTCATGGATGCTGCTTCAGGGTGTCTTTTGGAAATGCCCTAATAAACCCTACAAATGTGTTAGAAGAATCTTTGTGATTCAAACCTCACAGTCTTATTTGCAAAGAGTAAGAGCCAGTTACAGACAGTGTAATGTGTGTTTATAAGTTAGTGGAAAGAAGCAAGTATGTTCCAGAGAGATTTTTAGGGTCATGCAAATAGATTTACAGTAATAATAGTTTTGCCAAAAAAAAAAAAAAAATTAATTAAAAGCTCATTGTTTGTGATCTCAAACTCATACCTTGATCCCATCCTAATATCACTAATTTTATAAACAGAATTCATCCAGAATTGTATTAACAATTACATTCATTGAAAAGTTTACATTTATAAATTTTATTCAGATAATTGTCTAAATAAGTAACTGATATGTAACAATTTTCTGAATTGATGTTTTCACCTTTTTCTAGAATTTAGATATCTAGTTATTTTTCCATATGTTTCCATTTTAAGATGTTCTAACGTTGAACATAAGAATATTTTTAGCCACATGAAAGTTTCAGTCTTTAACAGTTATAGATGTTTACGTTTTTGGCTATAAATGTAAAAACAGTGGATCTACAATCATCTACCAGTTTATTATGTGGTGGTATGGGTCTCTCGATGTTGCAGTGTCACGCAGTGCAGGAGAACTGAATAGAATTGAAGGCAAAGTTCTGTATGAAGGTGTGAAACAGGCTAAGGTTAAAATCAAAGGACGCCTTTGAAGAATAATCTAAGAAGGTGAGCACAAATAAATTAGCTAATTAGAAACACACACACCTAAAATCAACAAAATGAGCAATCATGGAAGTGTAATCAGACGCTCACAGATAAAAAGGGAAAAAGAGGCTTTACTGGTAGAATCGTGATCCAGATCCAAAAAACAGACACAGGTCAGTACTGCGTCTACCTTTTGGTCATCCATAACTACCCTATTGGAATTGATGATGTATCCTAGAAATGTAACTAACTGGAGGTGAAATTCACATTTTTCGGCTATCTAGGGGGTCTAGAGGATAAACGAGTATATCATCAATTTTAGCAATGGCAAATATACCAATCATGTCTTTTTTCACAAATTGAGAGACCCAAAGGCATTACTAAGTATTCGTAGTGCACCCTAGTGGTCACGAAAGCTGTCTTCTACCCATTTCCTTCTTTATTTCTTGGTTGTAGGTGCTTCTGAGATCTAACTTGGTGAAGTACTTAGCTCCCTTCAACTGTTCAAGCGCTACTGTGAATAAGATGAAGAGGATAAGGATAAGTCTTAGTGATCTGGTTAACTCCTCTATAATCTATACACGGGCGTAGCCCTCCACTCTTTTCTTTACAAAAAAGAGCCCAGAAGCTGCAGGAGAGGTGGGAGGTCTAATGAATCCCTGGTCTAGGGCCTCTTTAATATACATGCCCATAGCACGTTGTTCTTCCTGTATTAGGGGTAAGTTCTAGATTTAGGAAGGGCAGACTTATCTACAAGATCGATGGCACATATGGGTGATCAGGTGGTAATTTAGTTGCATTGCCTTTACTGAAAACGTCCTTGAGGTCTGTGTATTCAGGGGCAATGTCACTGAGGGTCTCAGCATTGGGGCTCTCAATGAAAGTGGACCCGACCACTAATGAGGGTTGTGTAATACTAGTCCTGTGGCAGAACTCTGACCATTTTAACACCTCATGCTCTGACCAAGAGATTGTGTGGTTATGTTTTTCTAGCCAGGGCAAACCCAAGATGATTTAGAATTCAGATGAGTCTGCAATGCAAAAAAACAACCAAAAAAACAGGAATGGACAGGAGCTCACCCAGGTCCTTGAGGTATCTCCACAGTTAGAGGGGGGATCCAATCTTCAAGGACAAAGATGAGTAGAAAAAAAGGAGTAAGTTTGTTAGGGCTTGAATCTCAATGATCCACCAGGCCTGTCTTCCCCAAACTTGATCCTTCATGAAAATGGCTGCCACACTTCCCTTTCATGTTCCCAAACCAATATGAGTCCCCCATTGGAATGCACAGGAAACATTTTCAAAACAAAAAATATGGAAAACGAAGCATAATTAAAGTACCATAAATAGCATGAGGCCACAACTCCTATCAGAACATCCCAGTGAGAAGTCATAAAGGAAATTAAGGACTTTATTTTCTGTGGGGTAACCTAAATAACACTACCTGAAATCTATGTTAGTGGTAATCATTAAAAATAGGTACTCCACAGGTCCCCTTATGTGGTGGTGTCACAAGCGAGAGCTTTCTGAAAAGCCTCAGGATCCACCGTCTGCATTGGTGGCAAGGTATTCTGTAATGTGACAGAATGAATCAGACACTTGCAGATTAAAAGGGAAAAAGAGGCTTTACTAGTAGAATCATAATCCAGAGTCATCGTCAAAAAACAGGCACAGGTCAAATCCAACAAAGAAACAAACATAACACCAAGTGAATCGTTTTATCGTTGTCATAAACAATTCATTTAATTTTCATTGATTATTTATTGTTATGAAATTTGTTTACAGAAAAAGGAAAAGCATGACAGATATTACTGTAAGCCAAAATGGAAGCACAGGAAACACTTCTCTTTGTTTTGAACATCATCCTAACTCTTGTCAGCAGAGTGTCTATCCACTGGCTGTGAGAATTGTGTCTTATTTTGTCATTGGTGTCATTGTGCTTCTTACACTATTTGGAAATCTTCTGGTGATCATAGCCATAACTCATTTCAAGCAGCTGCACACACCAACTAACTACCTCACTCTCTCTCTGGCTGTAGCTGACCTGCTTGTGGGAGGGATTGTGATGCCTCCTAGCATGATACGCTCTGTGGAGACGTCTTCAGTCTGCATTTGAAGACTGCAAGAGAGTCTGCTGTTCGGACAGCCAGTGGAAGTTTGTTCCACCACCTGGGTGCCAGGACAGAGAAGAGTCTTGATGCCTGTCTTCCATGAGTCTTGAAGGATGGCGTGTCAAACCGAGCTGTACTTGAAGCTTGAAAGGCTTGAGGTACAGATTCATTTTTGAGCATTGCCATAAGGTAGGGCAGGACTGGTCCATTTTTGGCTTTGTAGGCAAGCAACAAGGTTTTAAATCTGATGTGGGGAGCTACAGAAAGCCAGTGAAGGGCTCACAGCCATGTAGTGACATGAGTAAATTTGGGAAGATTGAAGACAAGCCGTGCTGCTGTGTTCTTGATCAGTTGCAAGGGCCTGGTGGCCTGCATAGGAAGACCAGCCTAGAGTGAGTTGAATTAGTCATGCCTTGAGATGACAACAGACTGAACGAGCACCCGGGTAGCCTCCTGGGTGAGAGGGTGGAGTCCTCCAGATGTTTTACGGGAGAAAGCTGCATGAGTAAGTCAGGTTTGCAATATGAGCTTAGACTTCTTGCATCTTCAGATGGAATGATCAATGAGTTCTCGAATGAGATGGCAAGATGATGATGAGGATCTGTAGTTCAAAGGATGAATAGTCTTGCTAGGATTAAGCTTCAGGTAGTGAGTTGCCATCCATGAAGAGATGTCGGTCAGACATGCTGTGATGCGACTGGAAACCTAAAGTATCAGAAGGAAAGCACTGGTTGGGTGTCATCACATAAAGAGCACATATGTCACAGTATATATTGTAGCGTTCGGTTACTGGCTGGCGCTGGTGCTTGAGACTCTAGAGGTGTGGCTAGACAAACAACCACATGCAAAGACTCATATTAGCATGCGCTCGTACAACAAAGAAACTTGCTTGTGTTGTTTAATGTTGTTAGTTGTTAGAGTAAGTTATGTGTACATGTTGTTTGCACAATTTAGTGTCAGGAGATGTGGGTTTTGTGCATCAGGGGGGTCACCATCAGGGTGAAGCGGTAGCAAGAGGTGACCTTGGGTTTGGCGTCCTATATGTGCCCCTTTCTGCCGGTGTGTTAAAAAAAGAACACTTGTTATAGGAGAATCATGGCCACACCTTTGTTTCTTCTTCTACTGACACTACAATATTACAAATATAGCATAGAAATGTATGAATAAAATAATTGATACAAAATACATGTCTGTTGCACAATGACTGTTACACAATCCCCAAGCACAAATATCTTATGGTTTTAAAGTAGGTAAGTCATATGTAGAATTCACCAGTCAATCACTATATGAAGTGGGAAAGTAAGCCTTCTTTACAACACCGTTTCTGAAAATTGGTCCACCATGAATCTCAAGTGCAACCACTAGTGTTTTGCACAAATGTGAAAAATGACCAATAATAGCTACTTGGTAGTATAATTTAGAAAATGCATTGTATGTTTGCATTATCCTTTGACCCAATTCTGCTTGAATTATCCACTAATACTGAATTTCAGACACTCCTGGATAACTGTAATCCCATATCTCACACAGATTCATAGCCTGCCTTTCACCAAAAAAGTGATAAATTATTGATAGATGAATTTTAATTAAAAGTTTGTTAAATGTCAGGTGAAGTATCAAGGGATCAGGAAAAAGGAGTGATTCAGCATGAGGACGCTCCTAAAGAAGCCTGCAAGCCTATAAAAGACAACTGCTCATTTGCCAGTGCTGGCTTTGCCCACCCATCTCTGTAGGGAGAGGTAAGGCTGGAAATGAAAAGCACTTGAACTTGTTTTTGATCTATTCTTAATTATGGCATGGCTACAAAGTGTTCTTGTTAAACCATTTATGAGTTTGAATTTATGAGCAACTTGAAACATTTAGAAAATAGATCATTCAAGAGCATACAAATAATTTCATGCTGTTTAAAGCAAAACAAATAATTATAAATAATTAATAATCATAAATAATCAATTCATTTTCACTGATTATTTATTATGAAATGTTGTTACAGAAAAAGGAAAAGCATGATGGATATTACTGTAAGTCAAAATGGGAGCACAGGAAATACTTCTCTTTGTTTTGAACATCATCCTAACTCTTGTCAGCAGAGTGTCTATCCACTGGCTGTGAGAATTGTGTCTTATTTTGTCATTGGCATTGTGGTACTTCTTACATTGTTTGGAAATCTTCTGGTGATCATAGCCATAACTCATTTCAAGCAGCTGCACACACCAACTAACTACCTCACTCTCTCTCTGGCTGTAGCTGACCTGCTTGTGGGAGGAATTGTGATGCCTCCTAGCATGATACGCTCTGTGGAGACTTGCTGGTATTTGGGGAGTTTATTCTGCAAAATACACAGCTGTCTAAACATTTTGTTGTGTAATGCTTCTCTGTTAAACCTTGTATTTATCTCTGTTGAGCGATATTATGCAGTATGTCACCCCCTGCAATACCACAGTAAAATGACTCCTCTTACTACTCTGTTCATGATCGCTGTTTGTTGGAGTGTTGCTGCTGCTGTGGGAATTATATATCCAGAGCTAAATGTTGAAGGCATAGAAGCTTACAGTAACTTTTTATGTGAAGGAGCCTGTGTGGTGGTTACAGGGCCCATGACAGGTTTAGCAGTTTCTTTGGTTTCTTTTTATTTTCCTATTATTGCCATGCTCAGCATATATCTGAAAATATATCTTGTTGCACAGAGGCAATCACGATTAGTCCTCAACACTCTCTCTCATGTAAATAAATCCAGAGGTCAGCCCACTATTAATAAGGCAGAGAGAAAAGCAACTAAGACATTAGCCATTGTCATGGGAGGGTTTCTGTTATTTTGGGCACCATTTTCCATCTACATACTCATTGTAACATTTTTTGGTTATAGCGGTCCACCACAACTATTTGATATACTTTGTTGGATTGCTTATTCAAATTCAGCTTGTAATCCTATTATATATGCATTCTTCTACATGTGGTTTAGAAAAGCACTCAAAATAATTTTATTAGGCAAAATTTTCATGACCAGTTCCTCAAAACTGAAGCTGTGTTCAGAGTAGAATAAAGAGCACCTTAACAATCAGCAGAACTTCATTATTTCCAGTGCAGTACTGCTGTAAAATGATCAACATTGTAAGTCACTCTGTATGAGAACATCTGCAAAATGCAATAAACATAAATGCAAAATGTATTGCACACTGCTTAAGCAATGTCAATTTTTTTTCTACTACTGATACATAAAAATATTGATAATTACGTTTCCTTTGACACCACATCTTTCTTTAAGAAGAGCTACCAGCCCCAGCTCTGATTTAGGTTTGTCCCGCCGTTATGGATCTTTATATGTGTCATAACACCTCTTTGTGTGTTTGTTTTTATTTCTGTATATCCACGAGAAACAGAAGTATTGAATATATGTGTTCATAATTTCTTTTCCATATTTTTTTTAACTCTAACTTCATAGAACAATTTTTATTATATTAATACTTTACATCTATGTTTCTGAGCTTCAGTCCTGTTGCCAACCTGCACTGCAGTTTTGTGTTTTCCAACACTCACTTAAACACAGCTGATACAGCTCAGGAAGCTCTTGATTAACCAACAGATTAATAACTATCTGTGCAGGTATGGGAAAACATGAACCTTTGTGGGTGCAGCTGGGCGACACGGTTGGCGCTCATAAATGCTGCTTCAGGGTGTCTAGTGTCTAGGTTAGTGAAAAGGAAGCAGTACATTCCAAAGAGATTTAGGGTCATGCAAATAGATTTACAGTAATAATAGTTTTGCCAAAAAAAAATAGTTAAAAGCTCATTGTTTGTGGTCTTAATCTCATGTATTGATTCAAACCTAATATAACTAATTTCATGAACAGAATTCATCCAGAATTTTGTTAACATTTATATTCATTGCAAAGTTTACATTCAAAACATTTTTTCAGACAAACGTCTAAATGCAAAACTGATATAAAACAATTTTCTGAATTTATGTTTTCACCTTTTTCTACAATTACTGATTGTTTTCATATGTTTCCATTCCAAGATATTCTATTGCTGAACATAAGAATATTTTTAGCAGCATGAAAGTTTCAGTCTTACACAATACATACACAATACACATTACAAATACCCTTATAATGCGAATTATGAATGACATATCCAGGCCAATAAAATCAGAAGTGTTTATTTCAGAAATGTATTATTACAGTTATAATAACAGATGATTACCGTCGGTCCCTTCATAACATTGTTTTGTCTGTGAGCAACTGTGTCTGAAATATTACAATTACATAAATGTTTTTCAATCTATGAAATATTATTACAATGTCCATCACTTATTTTTGTGATGTTTGGTTTCAAATTTGTAGATGTGCATCAGTGTACAAAATCCTGCATTTTCTGCAATTACATTTATGGCATTTAGCAGGCATGCATATGCATTGTTGTCCACTCAGAGAATGTATCCCAGCTTGTACAAATAGGTTAGAGTCCAAACTACCTTTGAGCTCAGACACTGCTAGAAACAAAAGCCAGTGCTGATACCTAGAAAGAAAAATAACAATTAAACACAGCATGTTTTAAACAAGTGCAATATAATACGTTTCAATTAGGACGTAGATAGGTGATCACTTAAGTGCTGTAAAAAAAAGATGGGTCTTCAGTCTGCATTTAAAGACCGCAAAGGGTCTGCTGTTCGGACAGCCAGTGGAAGTTCGTTCCACCACCGAGCTGTACATAAACCTTGAAAGGCTTGAGGTACAGATTCAGTTTTGAACACTGCCAAAAGGTAGGGTGGGACTGGTCCATTTTTGGGTTTGTAGGCAAGCATCCAGGTTTTAAATCTGTTATGGGGAGCTACAGGAAGCCAGTGACGGGATCACAGCCATGGAGTGACATAAGTAAATTTAGGAAGATTGAAGACAAGCTGTGCTGCTTTATTTTTGATCAATTGCAAGGGCCTGGCGTCCTGTATAGGAAGACCAGCCAAGAGTGAGTTGAATTAGTCATGCCTTGAGATGACAACAGATTGAACTAGCACCTGGGTAGCCTCCTGAGAGAGAGGGTGGAATCCTCCTGATGTTGTGCAGAAACCTGCGTGACTGAGGTTCACAGTTTGAGCTGAGAATGATAACTTGTCATCCAGAATTACACAAATCTTGCATATTCAGGATGACCAAGAAGTTCTTGAATGAAATAGCAAGATCATGGTGAGGACCTGTAGTTCCAGGGATGAATACCAGCTCAGTCTTGCAAGATTGAGCTTCAGGTGGTGAGCTGCCATCCATGAAGAGATGTCAGTCAGACATGTCGAGATGCAACTGGAAACCTGAGTATCAGAAGATGGGAAGGTAAGCATTGGTTAGGTGTCATCATCATAGCAGTGTTAAGATAAGCTGTGAGAGGATATTACATCACTAAGAGAATTAGCATAGAGTGAAAAGAGAAGGGGACCCAGCACTGAGCCTTGTGGGACACTGGTGGAGAGCCTGAATGGAGCAGATGTGGAATCTCTCCATGTTACCTGATGAGAGCACCCCTCCAGATAGAACTCAGACCACTGCCATATGGAGCCACTGATTCGAAGGTTGGTGAGGACAGACAGATGGATCTTGTGGTTGACTGTATCGAAGGCTGCTGAGAGGTCAAGAAGAATCATAACTGATGACAGTTTGACTGATCTTGCTGCCTGGAGCTTCTCAGACACTGCTGAGAGGGCAGTTTCTCTTTAGTGCGCCTGTTTGAAGCCAGACCTGTTTGGGGTCCTGGAGCTGGTTCTGAGTAAGAAATAGAGACAACTGATCATAACTGAATATCATCAGCATTAATTGTGAGAAATGATATGGTAGTACATTTTTAAGAGAAATAGTGTCTGACACTAGTGCAAACACTTGAACTAATACATGTAGATGCAAGATGTCAAAGCAGATATTCTATTGTTTTTTTAATAGAGCAGTGATGGAAAATTCTGTTTAGTTGCAATGGTACAGTGACCAATGCTCAAATGGAAGGTTTTTAGTAACACAGGTGCTGAGTGCTTGTTGTTGAAGCCAAAATACCTGTTCGCATGCACCAGCTCTTGAACTACAGTGAAAACCCACTATTACAATTGTTAACTTATGTTCACTTATGATAAAATAAAAACTAACACCAACACCTCATACATAGGCCGAGACTCTAAAGCTGTGAGTGCTGTTTCAGTAATATGATCACCATGGCAATGCATTCATGAATACCTGCTGCCATCGCATGTGCAGATTCTGCTGTAAGTGGCAGAACAGAGGTTTTTCAATATCAACATATAACACAGCTTTAAAAAGCAGCATCTTATTCAGAATACTGCAGCACTTACACATAAAAGCAAGACCACTGAAGAAAACATTCAGCATGCTATATTTGCCAAGCCTGGAAATGTCATGATTTTAGAGCAGTGCAATATAGTGATAGCAGTTTTGTGAGGAGATAAGGACAAGAAACTGTGCAAAACTGTGCAAAATACTTGTAAAATTACATTTATATGCCTTTGAACCACTTTCCAAAAGGTCTTTGATCCATGTCCAATATTGTATATTTGTAACCATTACAGGTTTTATGTACCTTAATAACTTAAAAGTGTGAATAATAAACCTTAAATAATAAAGTCATAATTAGGCAATGTGTGGGGTGGGTTAGGCTGATTGTGAAATAATTTGATCAAGCATCTCATTTCTTTTTTAGTTTTTGAGTTAGCATATTTTCACAGCCTTATGTCTATACCATGAACAGTATGGCTACAGCTTTAAACACATTTGAAAGCTCAGCAGACATAGAAAAATTAGTACAGGTAAAAATATAAGTGTATATATGTAGCTGATACTTTCTCCAAGGCTTTCTGGATACAGATTACCACACCAACTCTATTGTCTGTTTTTGCAAACCTCAGACGTATCTTTGAATGGTTGATTGCCCCTGAGTGATGCTGCTCTGCTGCACATGGACACTAAGCCAGGCTCTGAGTCTCCTCCCCCGTCAGTCTCTGCGCCTCTGGCATATTTGACCTCCAAGTCTCCTATTCTACCTGACCTTCAACAGTCTACTCATAAGGTGAGTATTTTAAAACTGTTATTAGGCTCAGCTATTGGTTTTCTCCCCAGTCCAGATTCAGCTCTTGCTCCTCACTCTGGCCCAGCTTTGGATCCTGCTACTGTATCCAACCCTGATCCAGCCCCTGGTTCCTATCGCTGTCTCCATCTCAGTCCTTATCATCACCACCCAGCCAAGTCCCTTTCACAGTCTCCATCTTGTTTCCAGTTACCATCTGTGTCCAAGTTCCAACTCCCACTGCAGATAAGGTTCTATTTTTTTATGAGTTTTTTGATGGAGAGTATTGAGAACTAATCATATGTAGAGTATGTATGTCACATTATATATCACAAATGTAGCATAAAAATATATGAATGAAATAATTGACATAAAATATGTGCGTTGCACAATGACTAACAAAAGAACCAAGCAAAAAATCTGTTATGGTTTTTAAGTCATAAACAGAATATATTAGTTGGTCCTTGTTTGAAATGAAGGAACAAACAAACCTGCTTTACCATGCCTCTCCTAAAATGAGTCCACAACAAATCCCAAGTGCAACCGCAAGTGTTGGTGACATGGTTTGTTGACTGTCAGGTAACGTATCAAGGGATCAGGACAGGGGAGTGGTTTACTATGAGGATGCTCCTGAAACAAGCTTGTACGCCTATAAATTAATGCTTTTTATTTGTCAGTCCTGCCTTTGTCCACCCCTCTCTGTAGGCAGAGGTAAAACTGGAAATAAACGGATACTGACTTGTTTTTAATCTATTCTTAATTATATCTTTGTTACAAAGTATTCTTGTTAAACGATTTATGAGTTTGAATTTTTAAGTAACGTGAAACATTAGAAAATAGATTCAAATAGTAATTTCATGCTATTTAAAGCAAATCATTTGGATTTTTTTTTCTTTTATTGCTGACATAAAGGAGTACTTTCATTTTCAGTGATTATATTACTCATTTTTATGAAACATCCTTACAGAAAAAGGAAAAGCATGATG